ATATGTTTTTACTGTTGGTGGAGGAGCAGTATCTTGGAAGTCTTCCAAACAGACGTGCATCGCTCGCTCTACAATGGAATCAGAGTTTATAGCTTTGGATAAGTTCGGCGAAGAAGCTGAATGGCTTCGAAATTTCTTAGAAGACATTCTGTTCTGGCCAAAACCTTTGGCTCCTATATGCATACATTGCGATAGTGAGGCTGCAATAGGACAGGCAGGGAGCGTATGCATAACGGAAAGTCTCGTCATATATGATGAAGACATAAAACTGTTAGACAACTACTCTCTAGTGGAATTATCACTATTGATTAAGTAAGATCAAAGGATAATGTGGTGGATCCGCCTACAAAAGGCCTAACTAGAGAGGGAGTTGAGAAATCATCTAAGGGAATGGGACTATGGCCGAGGATAAGTCATCATGGCGGTAACTCTACCTAGAATTTTGGATATTCCGAGATCTAGGTTCAAGGAGCTCAAACAAAGTTGTGATTGACGGGTTCAACATTGTCAAAGTAAAATCTTTGGTCCCTTCTCGTAATGAAGACAATGTTAAGTAACAAGGATAAAACTTTACACATTCTTTAATGATTACCTAAGTTTGATGTGGTATTTATCAAATAGTGTCAATCTAAAGGATTACATGTGTTAGGAATCACCTATGTAAGTGTGAGTGGAAGCCGCTTCAATGAGAATTTTGTAAGGCCAATTCTCTACGCACTTATGAAACCAGGCGGTGTTCATGGCTGAAACGAACACAACAATGAGAACCAAAAGACGGTTAAGGGTTGGTTGTGTGACATATGGTTGTCTAGGTATACACTAAAGTTCGACGGTTCAAAGATATCAAATCTACCGATTGACCGAGTATATCTGATATATGCTCACTACGGAAAGTTCAAAGGGAAACCTACTTATCTAGATGCAATTAATCCTTACTTGCAAATCACACAGCTTTCATCTATGTTCATTTTTGTTACAGTCCTTCCCATTCATGTGGGGGATTGTTGGACTTTAAGCCATTGGTCATTGGGCTTTAAAGACTAGAAGTCTGAATTGGGAAATGGTGGGAAATAAAATAGAGGAAAATGAAAAATTTGGAAAATTTGAATCAAGTGAGCTTTTTCATTTATGACAAATGAACTTTGTCCCTCATTGATGAGGGACAACTACACTTGTGTGTATAAATATAGGATCACTTCTTAGAGCTCTTGAAGGAGTTGAAGAGAATGAAGCCTCGCGTCGTCATCGTCGCTCGGCTCGGCTTCAGCTTCGGCTTCGGATTTATCAAATGATCGATCGATGAGATTAACTTTTTGGACAAAGTTTATTTAATTAATTATTTAAAAATTAATTAAGTGTCAGTCAGTTCATTAACGGAATAAACTGGAATATGTATAATCCAAAACGTTGAACGCTGCTTTCCCTTCTGTTCACATTATGAACAGACACCTCTTCCTTTCAAATATCCGTTCACATTATGAACAGACATCACACCTCTTCCGACAATTGCCTATAAATTCTGAGGCAGCTGAAAAAAGATAGAACTTCCTTCTGAAAATCCAGCATTCTACTTCGTAGTTTCTCTTTTAAATTCGTAAGTGTGATTTTCTCCATTCTTTGAGTGCGTTGGTATCCTGCAGTTTGTATTGCCACTGTTGCAGGAATGTTTATTCTGTTTCATCCTGGGAGGATTTAATCCATTACCTTGGCAACTTGTGAGGGGTTAAAATTCCTTAAGGACACACAAGGAAATTGTGGACTCGGAATATTTCTTATCGTTTACAGTTTTTCCAGTTTCTTCTAATAGTTTTTCTAATTTCTGTTTTAACACAGTAGCGACTACGCACACTAGTCCATACATGCCTACACAAATTCACACATGTCCGCACCTCACTCTTTTCTAACTTTATGTATGAAAACATTAAATTAATGCAAACACATCTAAACAAATGTGGACAAATGGAAATAAGTTTATTACTATTTTTTAACAATCCATACACAATGAGCAAGAAGTCAAGAACTAATAAAAATAGAAAGAGTCAGATATAGTTTACAACTCGACGAGTTTAAAAAAGTATTTACAAATTCAAAGTATTATTAAGTGTTTTGGACATGAGAAAAGTATACCTTGACTATCAAATCCTTCATTGCAGAGACCAGGATGTCAAAGACTTGATCTTTATGTGATGTGTTACGGACCAAGATCCTCGGGCCAGGGGTGGCTTGAGGAGGAGGCTAGTAAAGCTTTTGCTTTAGGTACCTTAAATGTTGGGGGCCCAAAAATATTTTTAATTGTGGATTTACTATTTTATTTTCGTTTAAACAATATTGAAGTTTATGGAAAAAGAAAACAAAAATACTAAATCCTTATAGAGAAAGACTATCTATTTTTTAATAATAGAAATATTTAGAACTTTGAATTAAGATACTCAAATCTTCATAGTGATAAATAACATTATTTTACAATAAGATCCAACGTAACCAATTGTAAATACGTGGCTAATATCTTATTAACTTAAATTTTCTTACCAATGTGAATATTAATATTATATTTTATAAGATAACTACACTATAGACAAAAAGAAAGAAAAAAAGGAACCAATGTAATATTACATACTATATTTTACAAGATAACTATACTATAGACAAAAAAATCAAGGCTCTTAATTAACGTTTGGCTTTAGGCCACGAGTTTTATTGAGACGCCTTTGCCTCGGGCCAATAATTGGAGTGAAAGCCACCGAGCATTGCAGCTTTGAATAATAGCTCCAACCAAACTGTAATGGGCATTTGCCCAAGAATGATCGAACGTATATTCACCATAAGAATGGCTGTGGATTTGGATCAGAAGTAGTTAGCCAAGCATGTCATCTGGAAAAAAATCGAGATATTATCCAATAAAGGAAACATATTAAAAGCATGGTCCACAAATAGCATGCCAGATGTTGAACCTTTTGAGATAGAGGGAATCAACACCTAAAATACTGTTCCCTCCGTTTCAATTTATGTGAACTCATTTGACTGGGCACGGAGTTTAAGAAAAGAGAAAAGACTTTTGAACTTGTGGTGTAAAATGAAGCACATATATTTTGTATGGCTATAAATCATTGCATAAAGGTAAATTATTTCCAAATAAGGAAAGAGGTCATTCTTTTTGGCACGGACTAAAAAGGAAATAAGTTCACATAAATTGAAACGGATGGAGTATTATTTTCGCCTTATCACAAAGATAGAAGAGATACATGATTAGCTGCCCAGGTCACTCACGAGATGACTGAATAACAGTTAGTATCAAAAATATTCCAACATTTTCTTATAATCTGATTTCTTCACTGTATCTTCATCCACAGTCTGTGTCCTCTTCTCCCTCCGCCGTTCCAATTCAACCTTCAATTGTTCATCTTTGCGCATAAAAGATTTTTTTGAAGTCTGTTGAGTCTTAACCGGCAGTTGCAAAGATATTTCCGTCATCAACACGCTAATATCTTGCTGGAGACACTTTATTGGCACAGTTAGGTCTTCTACCCCTTTTTTCACCTTATTAATTAGCACATAAGTATACCAGCCACAGATAATGAATCCAACAATTTCAACTAACACAGAAAATAAAATAAAGTAAAAAACATGACACCTTGATTTCCTGCCTACAAACAAGACAATCAATGGGACATTTATAGCAAACGATAGTATTAGGATAGCGACTGAAATTTTCAATGGATGGCTAACCTGACTTTGTAATCTCAAATCTTTTTCTTGTAAAGTATTACGAGAATGAAATGACGCCCCAGCTTGACTCTAGACCAAGACTCCTTACAACTCGTATCAATAGCGGCACTGAGCGGCCGGAGATTGATTGAAAAGGCAGGCCACCCGACTAGAGGGACTGAGAAATTAATTGAGTACAAAACTTATCTTCAAGCTTTACCTTATTCTGATCGTTCAGAGGGCGATCGCGGGGTCACTGAATGAAGTCCTCCGTTTCTTTCGGAGGTGCTGACCCACAGCGAGGCAGAAATGACTAAGTGACATATGGAATATGGCGACGACAACAGCATGTCGTAGAAGGAGATAACAGGTGGAGCCAACGACCCACTAAGACTAACCTATCTACAACTACATCCCCGAGCGGCAGTCAAACGGGGGCGTGAATGCGAGATGCCAGCGGAATGATCGGCCGGACAGAGGCTAGGGCTGCTTCCTTCCCACCGCGTCCTCAAATCGTGTCTCCAATTCTTGTAGCACACCTGATATTCTGTTAAGATTCTTCTTAACATCAAAGAGATCTATAGCCCTCATAATTGTTGGGAGAGAGTATTTTTTCGAAAGAATGTGAAAGAGTGTATAGCCGAAAAAACATTTAGGTTCATGAAAAGAAGCAGTAAAACCCTAATTACGCCAAAAGTGTTAAATTTACCCTTATCTCAAATAATTTTTTAAAAATTATCCCAAATTTTAAGTAACCGACAATCTCCCTAGTATATTATACTAGTTAGAGGGGTGGCCCGTGTTGAGCCCGGGCCCAAGCTCAAAAATGTAAAAGCTTTCAACTTCTCGTAGATCCATTGATAATTACACTGATAATTGTACCTGCTATTTTTTTTAATTATTTACTCATTTTTAGTATAGTTTTCGACATGCACTTAATGGAACAGAAGGAAGTTCAACTAATTTGAGCTAAAAGGATAATTTTTCGTCTAATTAAGACTAAGGACGTTTAAGTTATTACATGCAACTTTGCGCTGGTAAAGAAAAATGAGTGACGACAGCAACATTTACATTAATAAATTAGGTATATACATAACTTTGAGATCCAACTGCACAGATTGTCATACTGGCAATGATTTGATATTGTGCAAAGATTCTACAGCCGTTGTGTACTCATACCAAAACCTGGTCACTGGATTCACCATCACTATTTACTCTATACTCTTATGGAAAATCAACATATAATTCTTGGTGAATAAATAATGTAGCAGAAAGGAGATANTTACTCTATACTCTTATGGAAAATCAACACATAATTCTTGGTGAATAATTAATGTAGCAGAAAGGAGATGAATAATTAGAATTTGCATGGTACAAATTGGAAGGAGGAGAGTTCCGCTGCAGCTATATAGAGACAATCGATCTTCACCTGTTTCACAACCTTCTTCTCTTTAGCTCACTGTAAAGATAAAATGCCTAAATTTACTAAAGTACACTACAAACGTCATTAGAGAACAACATTGCACTTGTTTGGCTACATAAGCCAATCCCATACCAAACTTGTCAAAGCTTGAGCTAAAGAAAATGCAGGGAGAGCACATCGTTGACAGTACCCAGACCTATCCCATTTTGAAAATACTGTGAAAGGCCAATTTTGTTGCGCCTTTCACTTAAGAAGAGGATACACTGGCTAGAGCATGAAAGGCATTATAATTCTATTGTTCCAGTATCAGAGCCTACGTTACAAAGACGGAAAGATGAATATTAAAGTAAGAAACTCAGTAATTCAGACAAGGTCACTACATAGGAAATATAAATCCATTTATACTATTATTATTTTGATAAATAATGGTAAAGTAGTATTATATCAGAAAAACCAGAATAAAGTAAGTGCTAGTTGGTATGAACAACCCAATAACAAACTATGAAAATTACTAATAAAATCTATCATGGCGTCTACGTCATTAACATTGATTCTAGCTTATGTTACACCAAAAAAGGGAGCAAAGATCATTTATGCTTAAGGCTAACTATGTTCTCCTCTCTGTCTTCAAATATTCTCAAGTTCTTTTCCCTCCATATGACCCATCAAATAAACTTATAATTATGTTGCTTCATGCAATGCATGTCTTAGTTGTTTTTACCCTGAATATAAATCATCTTTAACCCAGTTCCAAAACAGAATCAGGAAGATAATGCCTTGCGTGAAGCGAGTAGAAGCAAGGTTCTTTTGACATACTCCAACGTTTAGCGAGCTGAAGAGGAATTCTCATATTGCTTTTTGGTGGTCTCTCTCTCCACCCCCCACCCCTCTCTTTTTTAACTTTATATATAGTTGTAGTAACCAAGGGAGGAGGAGTTGATCTAAGGTTAGAGTTTGTTGAGATCCTGAATTGGTATCAAAAGATGTGAGTTAGCATTTGAATGAAAAATCCATAAACAAAATTTGGTGGAGTGACTAAAAAGTAGTTAACAATATCTAGAGTTTACTTTATTCAAATTCCTGCACCAACACATTGTCCTTTCCCTACAATAATTTTGTGTTTCTTCAAAACTGAGTCTCAAACAATGTTAGAATGCAATTTTGCATATCTACAGATTTATATGACCTTGAATGTTTGTGTAACATGAAAAGCTTACCTTATTTTGTGCTAGAAGGTGCATTCATGTTGAGTTCTTAGCGTCTTCTGCTTTTTCCAACTGCATAGAACAATGAGCTGAGTTAATGCACACGTTCAACTTAAAACTGACCATAACCGATGTAGTAGAAACCGGTAGAAAAAACAAATCGCCTTGCAAATTTAACTTACAATCTGATAGAACAAAAAAAGTATGTCATCCTTAGCTCTTTGATTTTGAGTGCTTAACAAGCCAATCACCAGTTGAGTCAATATTGAGCCAATCACCTCTTTTCCTTTTATTGAAAAGGCAGGCCGAGTAGATGATTAAAGGAGTCAACTTAGAATGCAAGTGTAGACTGTGTTAGAAGGCAAGTTTCCAATTTCAGCTTAAGGTTTGTTTGCTTCATTCAATTTTTTCATATGCCCAATAGAAGAAATGAAAATCCACCTCTAAATGTTGCAACACTCTATGAGATAAAGACACTGAATATCATATTATGTTAAGTTCCTGGCACACTTCGTCCCATGAATATCCTTTCTTCTTTGCTCCCTTCAAACTTAACCCTTGGCATTTGCAATATTACATCTTTGATGGCTATGTGGATTCAGTGGCAGGCTAGTCTGAATAGAAAATTTACTACTTATGCAAAATAGATAATTTAGTAAGTGTCTTCAAGATTTAATCACAATTCCTTTTTTTTCCTTTTTGTAATGACCAAAGGACATCATCAGTACAAGCATGAGCGTGACCCCAAAGTACCTGAAATGCAGCAGTAAAAAGCTTTTATTTAGTGTCACATTAGATGAAAAAGTAATGTCAAGAACCAGAGTGTCGCTCCTGGAAAAAAAAATATCGAAGTCTAACCGTAAAAAAAAATATCAATCAAAATGCTCGACCAACAGGAGTTAATCGCCACACCCCTATTACACCATATGTTGCACATGGTACATTGGCCACCAAAAAGCATAGGGAGCAAAATAGGGTTAATGCCACATTTAACTGTGGAATGGAATAGAAATAGTTGTATGCTCTGTATTGGAGAAATCCTTGGTAAGAAACGCTTTCCCAAATAGGCCCTATGCGACGCGAATCCGGATTAGTCGTATTCCAATGTGTGTACCGAATACCGAATTAAAAAAAATGGAGATTCACTAGCAAGAGTAACGTGTTAAACAATTTGTTCTATTTATTCCTATTTAACTACTTACAACTTTTGATCTAGTTGAATGACTGTTTAGTTTAACATCTTAGAGAGCAGATGATGACTCAAATATATATCAGACAACATTAACTCAGGGTAATTCTAGAATAAAAAGAAGTGAACTCATAACATGAATGAGATTACCCCATCGATATACGCTCATAAGATCCTTGACCAACAAAATCCAGTTGAACGTTTTATTAGAAATTACTACCTTGATGAGCTACTTGTATCCTACTTCCAACATCTGATGGCAATAGTTGCACCCACGTAATCAATGGCAAAGATACTTGATTGAGTTCTTGATGTTCAGTTGCATTCGTTCGCTATTGAACAAGCCTGTAGCATATTAAAAAGATTACACATATTCAGAAGCTTCTTACTTGTTCTAAAGCCAGGCTGAATCACAATGCACATCCTACCATCTAACAAGGCATATAAAAATGCTCAGCGAAACAGGACGGATGAATGCTGGATCCCGTTGTGAATACATCAGACCGACTAAAAAAAGTAACTACAATATTCAGATAGTGTAGTAGGTGGAGTGTTGATAGTTTAGTTCTTTTGATATCTCAAGTTCCTCTTAAAGCAACTACTTGGCAGGTCTTTCTTTTGTTGATAAGTCTACCGTGCAGGTCCCTATTTACACTCTTTTGCGGAATTTTTCTTATACTTCTAGAACTACAGGAAAGTATCTTGTGAAGAAAATCAAAATCAGGTTTGATTCTGTAAGCACAGAAGAAAGCATGTAGCTGCTGATATTTTACAAGTGTCAGTTTTAAGATAACTAGGAATTTTTTCAGATGGGAAACTTTAAAATATTCACTCTATGGATATCCATATTCCTTCCAATCTTCACATCCAGTAGCGTGACCTTCAACTCTTGCTGCCTGATTCATACAAGGAGCTCTCTTATTACTTGAAAGTGTTATTGTTACTCCTTGGTTGAAGTCTCCAAAACTCTTAGTATCACTACTATATCTCAACAAATGTTAATAAAGTGTTACCTAATATGACATAACAAAGAGTAAATAGCATATACTTACAGTATCATGGATTCTCCAAGTGTAAGGAGGAACTCCTGTATTTGAGAATGATCGCAAACACCAAGTAAAGATAAGGCCTCAAGGAGAATACTTGTGTTTTGTTGGTCATCTTAGCAATATTTCTAATTTGAAATGCTTAGTCAGTTAGTTGTTTATAATGATTAATGATGTTTGCCATGGGCTTGATGACTGTGAAGAAACAGAAACAAATGAGGCACCGGTCCACCTCTGCATTCAGAGTCCTCAAAATTTGTCATATTTACGAAAACAAAAACAATCTGCTTTCAGCCAATGGAAACAAAAGGAATTGCAAATGCAGTAGGCACAACCACAATTGTTCTTGAATAACAGCTAAAATCAAAGAATATTGCGAATCTCCTTAAGGAAGGAACATTATTTGGAGAATAATGAATTGGAGAATAGGTTGCTGAGGAAAATCGTCACAGTAGGCCAGACTGCTGCAAAAAGTAACTCTTTGTAACTTTTCAAGGCAATCCTAAGTGCAGAAGAGATACTATGAGTCACCTGGGAGAAAAGTGTAAAAAAAACAAACATGAGCTTCCCGTGAAGTTCCACTGTATGTCCATACTCGTTCCATAGCCGCTGATTTTCCGACGACGATAGAAACAACAGATCTCAACAATTTCATAAGCAGAAACAAAGACAACAACAACAACAACCAGTGTAATCCCACAAGTGGGGTCTGGGAGGTAATATGTACGCAGACGTTAACTCTGCCGAGGGCAGAGAGGGTGTTTACTGGAGACCCTCGGCAGAAACAAAGAAAGCAGAGAAAAATCGGAGAACCTAAAGACACCGAAAGAAGACAGAGAGGAATCGCAAAAGGTGAACACCACTTTTTCTTTACCTAAAAGGACTCTAAAGTGGCCCAATTTACGTTCAGCTAGGAAATAATGTAAACAAAATCTAGGGGTAAAACTGACCTTTTGAGCGAGACGAAGTCCTGCTTACCCTACCACCAAATTTCACGGAATTTAGTCCAACCATTATGTTATTTTTTACGCCAAATCTTCTCTATTCTATATTATATTATTACCTTCTATTTACTTTTCATTTTTTATTTACTTCAAATTAATACGATCTTTTTTTCTTTTCTTCATATTCATTATATATAATTCACATTCACCACTTATATAATCATTTATTACAAAATTATTTTAAAGAATAAATCAACTAAAAGTGAAATCATAGATAAAAGATAATTAAATAAATATTACATCATAGTCAAATTTAATTTAAGTACCACATAAATATTTAACTTTCGCATCTATTCTCCCATAAATGCTCGATTAATGCATTACGAAGTGCGAAATGCGCATCTTTATCCTTAATTTTTTTGTGTCGAGCTAAAAATTATTCAACATTAGATATCTTACATTTGCATTTTTTATTTTTAAATAATGGTTATATCTCTTTTTATACAATTATAATAATAATAACATTAACTTATAATTTTATATAAATATAATATATACAAAAATTAATATATCAAAAAATAGGATATAAAATTAAAATTATAAAGATCTTAATATAAAAATTAATTATATACACAATATATGATAAATTAAAAGTCCAAAAAATAAAAAAATTGAATAAAATAATAATAAACCAAATTTGGAGTGATGATTCATGCTCTATAATGGTGCAAGATTTAGTGTTATATTGGAGCAAAAAAACATCATTTCTTGCACCAAATTTTGATTTGGTGCAAGAAATGGTGCAGCCTTGGAGATGGTATTACTCCCGCTTCTAAATAAGTATAATATAAATATAAAAATATAATAATAATATAAGTATAAGATTATATATAGAAAGAATAATACCCACATTATGCACGATCAATAGTAAATAAATTAATCATAGCAAATTTTGTCTTTAAATATTATCTATAAAAGTATCTATAGCAAATTGTCTATAGATACTTAATTTATGAGATATTAGAAACAACTTTTAATATAAATGTAATACTCCTTTATATTAAACGTATTTAGAGTTAACCAATTATATTAATCAAAACATGAACTAATATATTCATGGTATTCCAAACAAAATAATTACGTATTATACACGAATTACAACATTCCTCAAAAATATGGTCAAATCTTAATAGCACCAGTGAAATGCTTATGTAAAGGTTTCCATTAATGTTTCAAGGATATTATTAGCATTAAAATAGAACAAATTATATTTCTTCACTTTTACTTTTCACAGAAAGTATTCATTACATTAAGATGTGATCAGCTTATTATTAGGACTCTAAAGTTCTTATTGACCATAAAAATTGGAAAGTACATTATGAAACTTTTTAATTAATGATCACGCCCAATTATGCCTTATAAAAAGGCCAATGCGGTCGTTGCAAATATAATCCGGTTTACAAGTCCGGAATCGAATCCCACATAGAACTAAGGCTTAGCTACAACTGTTCACTATCACCAAGAAGACAAGCTTGAACAGTTCCTAACTTATAGATATTTAGATTCTTGTGTTTAACTAATTGATTAACAAATTAAAATAATAAATTAACAACTAAAGATACTAAGAGTTAGAGACAAGATTAAGGAGGCCTAGAGTTATGATTTCCCCAATTGTCGGAATCCTGTCTTCTATAATATTGCCTGAGTATTCTCTACCGATTATGAGCACTCTTATTACCGTAAATCTCTCCCGAGTAATCACGACAATTTACTAGACGTACTCTCCCGAGCTACGCTAGCTGGCTTTTGATATAGCTCACTTCAGATCGCACCCAAGGCTTCGTTATCCCTAATCCCGCCTTTAAACCCTCGGTTATTGATCCCTCATATACTCT